ATGCGCTCTCTCTCTCGTTCGCATATGCGCTCTCTCTCTCGTTCGCACACGCTGTCTCTCTCGTTTGCGTGCGTGCTCTCTCTCTCGCTCAGGCACACGCTCTCTCTCTCTCTCATTCACGCGTGCTCTCTCTCTCTCTCATTTGCGCGTGCTCTCTCTATCTCTCTCGTTCAGGCGCGCTCTCTCTCTCTATCGTTCGCACGCACACTCTCTCTCTCTCGTTCATGTGTGCTGTCTCTCTCTCTCGTTCATGTGCGCACATTCTCTCTCTGTCTTGTTTGCGCGCGCGCTCTCGCTCTCGTTCGCGCGCGCTCTCTCTCTCTCATTCGTGTGCACTCTCTCTCTCTCGTTCATGCGCGCACTGTCTCGTTCGCATGCGCACTCTCTCTCATTCGCGCACGCACTTTCTCTCTCGATTGTGCGCGCTTGCTCTCTCTCTCTCATTCGCGCGCGTGCTCTCTCTCGTTCACACGCACGCTCTGTCTCCATCTCGTTCGCGCGTGCTCTCTTTCTCTCTCGCTCGCGTGTGCTCTCTCTCTCGTTCGCGCGCGCACTGTCTCCCTTGTTCGTGTGTGCACACTCTCTCTCTCCCGTTCGCGCGCGCACTCTCTCTCGTTTGTGTGCGCTTGCTCTCTCTCTCTCATTCGCGCGCGCTCTCTCTCTCGTTCGCACGCACGCTCTGTCTCCATCTCGTTCACACGTGCTCTCTTTCTCTCTCGTTTGCGCACTCTCTCTCTCTCTCGTTCACGCGCATTCTCTCGCTCGGGCACGCTCTCTCTCTCTCGCTCGTTCACGCGCACTCTCTCGCTCGGGCACGCTCTCTCTCTCTCTCTCGTTCATGCGTGCTCTCCCTCTCTCTCGTTCGCACACATTGTCTCTCTCTCCGGTTCGCGCACGCTCTCTCTCGTTCATGCGCGTTCTCTCTCTCTCGTTCGCGCGCACTCTCTCTGTCTCTCTCGTTAGCGCGCGCTCCCTCTCGTTCGCGTACACGGTCTCTCTCTCATTTGCGTGCCCTTGCTCTCTAACGCTCATTCGCGTGCGCTCTCTCCCTTGCACACGCTCTCTCTCATTCGCACGCACTCTCTCCCTCTCATTTGGGCACATGCTCTCTCTCTCTGTCGCCTGCGCGCTCTATCTCTCTCTCTCTCATTCACGTGCACTGTCTTACTCTCTCGTTCGCACACGCCCTCTCTCTTGTTTGCGTGCGCACTCTCTCTCTCATTCGCGCACGCTCTCTCTCTCTCATTCGCGCACGCTCTCTCTCTCTCGTTAGCGCGCGCTCCCTCTCTCGTTCACATATGCGCCCTCTCTCGTTCACATATGCGCCCTCTCTCGTTCACATATGCGCTCTCTCTCGTTCGCACAGGCTCTCTCTCTCTCGTTTGCGTGCACACTCTCTCTCATTCATGCGCGCTCTCTCTCTCGTTCGCGCACGCGCTCTCTCTCGTTTGCGCGCGCTTGTTCTCTCTCTCGTTCGCGCTCCCTCTCTCGCGTTCGCGTGTGCTCTCTCACTCTCTCGTTCGTGCATGCTCTCTCTCTTGTTCGTGCGCGCTGTCTCTCTCTCTCTCGTTCACGCGCACGCTCTCTCTTGTTCGCGCGCACGCGAACAAGATAGAGAGAGAGCGGCGCGCTCTTTCTCTCTCTCTCATTCGCACGCGCTCTCTCTCTCATTCGTTTGCGTGCACTCTCTCGTTCAGACGCGCGCTCTCTCTGTTGCTCATTCGTGCACACTTTCTCTCTCGTTCGCACGCACACTCTCTCTCGTTCGTGCGCATTCTCTCTCTCTCGTTTGCTTACGCGCTCTCTCTCGTTTGCGCGCGCTTGCTCTCTAACGCTCATTCGCATGCACTCTCTCTCTTGTACGCGCGCGCTCTCTCTCTATCGTTCGCGCACACGCTCTCTCTCTCTCGTTCGTGTGTGCTGTTTCTCTCTCTCGTTCGAGCGCACACATTCTCTCTCTCTTGTTTGCGCGCACTCTCTCCCTCTCATTCGGGCGCACGCTCGCTCTCTCTCTCTCTATCGTTTGCGCATGCTCTCTCACTCTCTCGTTTGCGCGCGCTATCTCTCTCGTTCGCGCGTGCTCTCACTCTCGTTCGCGCGTGCTGTCTCTCTCTCTCATTCGCGCGCACTCTCTCTCTCTCATTTGTGCGTGCTCTCTTACTCTCTCGTTTGCACGTGCTCTCTCACGCTCTCATTCCTGCGTGCTCTCTCTCTCATTCGTGCACGCTGTCTCTCTCTCTCGTTCATGCGTGCTCTCTCTCTCTCTCACGTTCGCGCATGCTCTCTCTCTCGTTCGCGCACTCGCTCTCTCTCGTTCGCGCACTCGCGCTCTCTCCCTCTCTCGTTCGCGCCTGCTCTCTCTCTATCTTGTTTGCGTGCGCGCTCTCTCTCTCTCATTCATGCGTGTTCTCGCGGCGCTCGCTCTCTCATTCGTGCGCGCGCTCTCTCTCTCTCATTCGCGTTCTCTCTAACATCCCATTCGCGCGTGCGGTCTCTCTCTCGTTAGCGCGCTCTCTCTCTCGTTTGCATGCTCTCTCCCTCTCGTTCGCGTGCACTCTCTCTCGTTCGCGTGCTGTCTCTCTCTCGTTCGCGTGCTCTCTCTCTCTCTCGTTCGCGTGCTCTCTCTCTCTCTCGTTCGCGTGTGCACTCTCTCGTTCGCGTGTGCTCTCTCTCTCGTTCACACACTCTCGCTCCTGAGTGCAAAACCCAACACTCTCCTCACTCACTGTCTCGCACACGTACACACTCTTTCTCTCAGATGCACACACGCTCGCACATGTATTCTCTCTTTCTCTCACACATGCTCTCACAAACAGATCCACCCATCACCTACTCCCCGCGGCCAATGGCCTTCTGATATCGATTCGAAAACGGCGAAAGTTTCGGCGGGTGAGGGGGGGGGGGGGGGGGACGCGAACGTGGAAAACGTCTGTGATTGATGTTGGCGTTCCCTTTATTTGCCGAACTGCCTGACTTCCTCTCTGCCTGGACCGTCTCCAAAAGAGGCCGTTCACTTACCGAATGTCGGCCCTTGAGCTCAGGCCCTGCTGGCCGATAACCAGCCAAAAGAGCGTACAGTTTGCTTTTAACCACAATTTAAAACAAAATAAATTACTTTGGCCCCTCAGAGTCGCAGACAGACGACATGGCACTGTTTCTAAGAAAGTAGGCCTCACACAGGGCAGCTATACGTTGACGCCCTTCCTATAACAGATTAAATTGTTCCCTGATTTCCCTAAATTTAGATAATTTGTTAGCACAACTGTCAACCTTTAACCCTTAATTCGGAATTTCTTAAACAGAGGCTGAAGTATTTCCCCGGGGCTTAGGCCGTGGTTGATCCCGGCCTTTTACAGCTAATTGACTGTCGACTTACGGATTAAGATTCCCTCGCTTTTTTAACGGCCGAATATCTAAGGGATCGTGACTATTTTTGTCCCCGAGGGAGATGTATTTTTGCACGGCTGCTTCAGGTACAGTGAGAACGGTGAGGTGAGCAAGCTGGGCGAAATGTTTAGGCCTCAGGTTCAGGCTTTTGTCCAGTTCTAGGCCCCAGCCCTTCCAGAAGGATGTCCAGACCCTCCGAAAGGGTGCGCGGGGTCGGAGGTTCCCAGGAGTGTCAGGGAAGTCGGGGGGAGTGGGATTTCAGTTTGTACGGAGAAATAGAGAGGGGCGGGAGAAGCTGGGATAGTTCCCCTTCAACTGGAGAAGGTCAAGGAGGGAGATTGATTCGAGGCGTTTCCAAAAAAGGCGAGGTTTCCATTGAGGGAGAAAAGAACAGGAAGGGAGGGAGGGAGGGCAGGATTCACAGCAGAGGCGGGGGGAATGTGGGTCTAACTGGAGAGTCCTGTCAGTGTGCCAGCAGGGAATCAAGGGGCTGAATGGCCTCCGGTGCGGTGAGATGTCCTGTTCCTCACATTGACACGTCCTCTTCCTCAATATTTCTGTACGTCAGCACATTTCCGAACAGAGCTTTCTGCTCCAGAAAGGGTATGAGGAGAGAAAGGCCGAGTGAGAGACAGAGACAGAGAAAGAGATAAAGAGACAGAGTGTGTGAGACAGAGAGAGAACGACAGACAGAATGTGTGAGAGATGAGTGTGAGGGACAGAGAGAGAGAGAGGCAGAATGTGTGAGAGACAAGCAGAGAGAGAAAGAGAGAGACTGATGTGTGTGAGAGAGAGAGAGAGAGACGGAGTGTGAGGGACAGAGAGAGAGAGACAGAATGAGACGGGGGAGAGAGTGA